TTCCCTCCTCGGTACTGCAGAAATAGAAGAGGGGGGGTGGGGGGGGGAGGGAAGGAAGGCGGACGGGGGCACAGAAGGCCACTGAGATGTCACCGCTTCCTACACTCAAAACGTCTCTGATGTTTGGATGTTGGTGTAAGCGCACGTTTTACTTATATAGAAGGGTACATAAATCAGGCGAGAAATGTTTGGTTGATACATCTAAGAATTGAAAATAGTAATCCACTGCCACCTCCCAAATCTGACTATAGTAATAAAATGCATGGAAGTAAACCAAAGGAACATCCACTAGCCACAACTTAGGGAAATGTCCTACATGTACATTTACAAACGTGAAATCATTTTACACCAAATACAGATGACACGGAAAGGGAGAAATGCTTGGCCCTAGGGCTAGGACTGCGGTACACAGTGGCAGCCCCTCTCTCCTCTGAGAAGCGATCCAAAAGCATACAGGAAGGAGGAAAATAGCACATGACAGAAAATTTCAACCACAAAATTACAGAAAGAGCAAACAAAATTAGTAAAAATAGGGCAAACCGTGCTGGGAAAGAAAGGGACTGAGAAAGAATATCATGCCTGTCGATGACGTTAAAAAAAAAAACAAACCTGGCACAGCCCTCAAAAATAAACAAATTTCTAAGAAATAAACAAGGAGAATTTGCCCAAAATGAGTACAACCTAAATGCAGGGCCTGAACCTCTGTTTTCAACAGTGGGAATGAAATCAGCAAGAAAGCAACAGGGGGACCCCGGCCCCGAGCACTTCTGGGACACAGAGGAGGCAAAGTGGGACGAGAAGTCCAAAGAAATCTACCATTTATTATTGGTTACTTTGGAGAGATACTGGCTAAATGGTAAACGACTGCTCCCATATTAAGATGGGGTGCAAGAGCACAAAAAGAAGACAAACACGCAAGTGTGCGTGCACACACCAAGTGTGCAACTGCAGGAAGGTTCCGGTTACCGGGACCACGGCCCCGGCTCTCTGCATAGCTGGTGTAGAAATGATTCAATCCCTCCAAACACACGCCACACAGAGATGCTTACAAAGCTGCTGTAGGCAAGGGGAGGAAAGAGGATGAGCCGCTAGCTGACATGCACTAAAAAGTACCACTAAATGGTGGAAAACTGGGACCAAATAATGAATTGTTCAAATGTTTAATATCAACTGTCTCCATTAAGATCTTTGCACAAGGTGCATGAACACAGGGAAGAGAGAGCAGAACAGCCAGAAAGATAAAACATGAGCTGGCAGAGCTCAGGAGAGAAGCAGAGGAATAAAACTGTCACAGAAATAAAGGCAGCACTGGAAGCAGCAGAGGGGCAGACCACAAAACCCAGAAGACAGTGACAGGCACATGGAAGGCCCACTGAAACAGTCGCCACTCTTTACGGCTAAAACTTCTCTGATTTCTGTATCTTAGTGTAACTGCGTGTTTCACTTATTCCCCAGTGCCAACACAGGCAGGCATGGGCTGAAGTGGTTTAAGGAAGAACTACTAAACTGTCTGCTTTCTTTGGCAACAAAACACTACCAATATCGTATCATAAACTAAGGGAGTGGTCTTTCTAACCAGGAGGACAGGTAAGCACAGCGACCTGGGCTGTCCTGGGTGTGGGCAAACCCTTTTCCTGGACCAATTCTGTGGGCTGGAGGAGTACATCAAACCCAGCCAATGATGCAAGACATTAAGATCCTACGGGCACGAGGAGTAATGTAAAGCCTGCCAACTTTAATCCTGGAGCGAATTAAAAGAACAGCACACCCTGTGACGAAACAGTTGATTCAAGGAGAAAAGGAAATTTAACGTTCAAGAACATCCCAGCATAATTCAAGACCTCAGTGTGTAACGGGATGAGGCGTTTAAAAGTTGTCTGCTTGCAGGTGCAACAACCTCCCTATCGCCTGTCTCCCCCAAAGAGATTCTGAGTAAATTAAAAGGAGGTTGTTTCTAGAAATTAATTAAAAAAAAAAAAACCTACCTCAAAATGAGAGCTGAAATCGCATACAGGAAATGACTTCCAATTTCACATACAAGAAAGGCAAGACTGCTCTCCGCCTTTCCTGTTTGCTGTTGAAGAAAGGGGAAGCATTTCCACTCCGGAGTCTAAGGGTAAGCACCGGAGGGCAACACCTACCGAGAAGGCCCTGGGTGAGGCCCTGCCCTGCCCGGTGGGAGAAGGGAGCTGCTGGGGGAGATGGAGCGACTCCCAGGCTCCCACCTAACACGCAAGGATGGGACTTGGACACACGTGCACAGGATGAAAAACAAAGTTAAATAAACCTCCTCAGCACCCCGCACACAAAGGAAAGGAGGAGAGGTTCTGTTAAATGTTAAATAAACCTCCTCAGCACCCCGCACACAAAGGAAAGGAGGAGAGGTTCGCTTTGGCTCCCACGTCAGCCCCAGTCCACCAGCTGCAAGGCAGATGGCGTGGAGAAAGGGGCTGAGGGAGGGGAGCGGCGGATCTCACAGCGGCCAGCAGCAGGGAGAAGGGAGCGCTGGGCAGGGGTCACCTCCAGCCACACCCCACGCCACCTCTGCTCACAAGGCCTCCCTCCTCCGGGGACATTCGGCTATGGCCCCGACCCAGTGACCTTCCGAGACGATTCCACCTGAGCGCAGCCGAGTTCTGGGGCTGTTCTCGATCTCCACCACAACACGCCGCGGACCCTCCATGCTTTAGTAAAGCACAGGTCTACCAGGGAGTGGATGCAAATAAAACCGAGAGTCCTGCCATCTCGTAAGGTCTCCACCCTCTAGCAGCCTGAGATGTTGACGTATCTACCCAGAAAACGCATCAGGAATTGTTAATCTCACACTACTTACTACCAGGAAAATGGACAGCGCCCGGCTTTCGCTTCTCTGACTGTGTCTCAAGAACACTTGCACATTTGGGTACTGCTCTGAACTACTCACCGATGCTATCCATTTTGAGCAATCCGGAACAAGTAAGATCAAAACTCACACAGCCCCCAACTGCAGAAAATCTATCATCTGGGCTCTGAATCTGGCAGATTCAACACCGGCCAAGATCTTGCGGACGTGGTGGATACGACAAAGCTTCTCAGAAATACCTGGGATTCTGGAAGGGACCACGGCCCCTGTGTTAGGGGGGGGTTTCACAGTGTGACACTTGCTGTGATGAAAATCATTTGAAGCTGGCACGAGCACAGCCATTCCACTCACAGCCCCGTTCTGAGTGGAGGAGACAGCGGATCCTCGAGCTGCAGGCAGGGGTGGGGGTCAGAACCACTCTCCAAGGGCCGTTTATTCTCAGAGGACCCTACCTTCATTGTTTCCCACCAATTTCCTTCACCTAATCCTCCAATCTTTCTTATTCTGAGCCCCCAACATCCAGCTCCTCCCCTGGTCATGGTCTGGAAATCTGCGTGAATCTCCACCCAAAGTCTCAGCCCCTCCAGAGCAGGAGTGCCACGTCCCTCACTGTATCCCACCTTTGAAAGCTGCAGCAGAGCCACAGTGGTCCAGTTCTGGAGCTGCTGGTGTAGCCTACAGTGCCATCCTAAACCAGGTTTAGACCTTTTTCTCCTCTAGCCCCCGAGACACAGCGTGTACTGGACCCTGAATCACTTGCTCCTACAACGCAGTGTTCTCGGGCCAGTTTCCCTTCTGAGAGCGGCTTACACCTCATAGCTGAGTGTTACTCTGTGTCTACTC